ATGACAGTCTGGCTCGACTTGACTCATGACTTGCATATCTTTAGTGACCAACTTGCTAACACCATTCATTTTGAGCAACAGGTAAGATCTGTACCCAGAGTGCAGGGTGCGTTTCTCAGAGGGGAACAGTAAATGCATTAGGCAATGAACTTGAGGCAGAACGATCCTTCTAAAAGCTTCAGAGGGCTCCTCTGATGTGCAGCAGGGTCAGGCTATCAAGCAGAAATCAACCTCAGCCTCACGCCCATTGCTTAACAAGTTTGTTGTTCCCTTCCGAGAAATGCACCCCACCTCCTTTTTTATCTGTTAAAGTTGGTTTCCAGATTTGAGACTCAGTTTGAGACTTGACTTGAAAGTATCTTGCAAGGACTTAAGACTTTCTTCCTCGTTAATAACTTTTGCCATCTTGACCACACTCTGATGGTTTCTGGCCACACGTCCCAGTTTTCATCTGTGAAATGTTGGAAACTATGGTATCCCACTAATAATGCCTTACTCTGCCTAATGGAAGGGCTGGTCCTACTGGCAATCGTTTTTTAGGCTTTTTGTCTTTCGGAGGCTTCTCTGGTGAAATGGTAATGCCACATGGTGCCTTGCCAAGAGGAATCCAGGATCCAGTGCTGCTCTTCCTAAGCATTTGCAATGCTTTCATCTGTTTCATTTCTCTCCAAGCAGCAGAGTCTGACATAGCTGGCTCTTTAGATCCTATGTGTTCTTTTGTTGTCCAGATGCTGGCATGGGTTTCCATTCCCTTACTTCTAAGTACCATCTGTGGAACATCACCAGCATGCTGGATGACAAGGAATGCAAATACTGGTTGAGGTCCCGTCCTCTACAGAAACTGATGGGCAGACATTTCAACACAAATTAGCCTATGGAGTACATAGCTACTGAGTAGCTAAGGATTTGAACTGGCTGCAATGAAGGTGGTACAGAGAAGAATATCCCCAGGCTCTCTATGGGCCAGACAAGGCCCCGGAGGTGGAAACATTACTTTTTTGGACCGCAACGGACAGAATCACTTAGCTATAAGGAGCTTGAATCTTCTCTTCTCCTTCCGGAAAGAGATGTGCCTTGACTGCCATTCTTCCTGCAATCCCTGTAGCAAGAGGATGAGAACTCCAGTCCCTGTTAGTAGCTTAAAGGACTGATAATTACACAATGCTGCATTGCTTCCATCCTAATAAGGGAAGGTCCGCTTAGTCATGTGTACGTAATCTATTTCTGAATTAATAGGTATTATCAATCACTATTCAGTTGTGGACACCAGTTTATAGAAAACATGCAAGAAAACAACTGCACTCCCTCTGATGCATCTGGTTTGTAGTTTGCGGATGCTCTTGGACCCAGCACTGCTCCTGGAAATCAGTCTATGGGCGTTTTCACACGGGGGTCCCTAAAGCCGGCTGGAGCCATTCCGGAACGGCTCGTGCCGCTGATTCCGGAATGGCTCCGGCGGTGGCAGGCTAATTCCTTTTGCCACCCAGAATTACCTTTCCGCTGCTGAAGCCAGAATTAGAGGCCTTTCTGCCAGAGTGAGGCCGGACTTAGGGCTCCGTGTGTTTGAATACATGGAGCGACGAGCCGGACTGACGCAGGGATGGCACCGGAAGGGGCGGGGTTTGCCGCCGCCGCCGCCGCCGCGCGCGTGTGAACGACCTGGAAATGAAGCCGGAGTGGGGCCGGACGGAGGCCGGCTAGCGTCCTTCTAAAGCCCCGTGTGAAAACGTCCTATGTGTCTGAATAGCAACTTCCATAATGCTTCGTCCAGCATGACCAATGGCTATGGCTGGGCAGGAGAAGTTGTTGTCCAAAGTCTTTTTGGAGTTCTGTCTAGATGCTCTAAACTGGCCTGCTGTTTCTGGTGTGGTGAACAACATTGTCTCATTGCTGGTGTTGTCAAAAATAAGTTTAGTTAGCTGGCACTCCAAGTTAGCTTCATGGAATGGAGAGAGGGAGACATTTTGTCTATCCTCTCTGATAGGATGTTGTTTTAATTCTGTGGCTGCAACTGAATGGGAATTTCAAATTAAATAGTTTCTCTCATCCAGCTAAGTGTCATCTAGTTCTTTCTGACCCCTAGTCTTTTTTATTTTTTCTCTTATTTCTTATATTGGAGCAACATAAGCTAGAATAGAAAAACAATATTGGCATTTTGTACCACTACAAAACTTAAGATCATTTGACCATCCAGTGTGGAAAGAAGCAAACATTAAAGCATAAGACCATTCAATGTCCAATTATTTAGAACTTTAAGAGAAAAAAATTGTTCAGCTATCTAGGTGTGACAATGGAGGTGTATATGGTTGTTTGTCAATATTTAAAAGTGAAACAATGTAATACCAAATTGAATTAAATTACCAAACTGAATAAGATTACCAAAGAAGTTGATACCAAGTGAATAAAATTGAGTGTGTGTGTGTGTGCATGCGTGCATGTGCGTGTATTGTGTTCCTTCAAGGCACTTCCAACTTATAGTGACCCTAAGGTGAACTTAACATGGGATTTTCTTGGAAAGATTTGTTCAGAGGGGGATTGCCAATGCCTTCCCCTGAGGCTGAGAGTGTGTGACTTGCCCAAGGTCACCCAGTGGGTTTCATGGTCAAGCTGGGAATCAAACCCTGCTCTCCAGAGTCACAGCCCAACACTCAACCCACTATGCCACACTGGCTTACTAAAGCAAACATTGAATTAAGGATACTTTATGTTGATGGAGTAGAATCTGTGGTCTACAGCCAATATTTACTTCTAAATAAAGTAGATGGATTGAATTATTGCTCAGTAGTTGATTCAATAGGTCTACTCCCATTGGGACTAGAAATTGGATCTAGGCTTTCTCCAGGGCTGTCTCCTTACCATGGAAGTAAGGAAATTTTGCAGACTGTTTTGCAAGCTCTTGCCACACTCATTATTACTGAGCATCAGCAGCAGGACTGCCAATTACACAAGCGAGCCTGGAGCTTCTTGTCTGTTTGTTCCTTCTCTTCCTTTGTTTTCATGCTTTCACCGAGGAAAGAATAAGGGGCAGGTATGTTCTTTGGGCCCTGCCTTGCCTGTCTACATTCCCAGCTCTTCCTCCGATTTCCTGCATGGCCCTCAGCAAAACACCTAAGATCCAAGGACTGCCTTTTTGCCTGTGTGATAGACTCCCGTTGACATCTCAGGAGCACCTACAACAGGCTTGTAAATAAGACTACAAATGTTGTAGATTGTAAAATAGCAGCAGCAGACGAAGTAGAACAGGCTTCCTAGGATGGGCAAAGGATGCGTAGAGAGTCTGCTGTTTCCATTTCTATGCTGGAAAGGCAGAAAGTACTTCCATTCTTTGGCAATCCACTTGCTTTCTCTACTGGACCTCAATGCGAAACAGTGTGCTCAATACCTGTCCACTAGCCTATTCAGTTGCCTGCATCTCATGTCACATCATTCACCTGTATGTGAGCCCTTCTTGCCTGAATTGACTAGGCTACTGCATACTACAGTCACAAAAGCAGTCCAAAAATGCCATTGTCCAGGGTCACCGTAATGCTGACATTGTGAAGAGTCATAGCTAGATCTTAGGTTTTGCCCCTGAAATCTCAGGACCTAGGATAATCCTGACCCAACAATCCTAGCCTCCCCCCAACTACAAACAAAAAGCATCTGAACCAAAAAGAAAAATGTGCCAACAAATCTATTGCTTTTAACCCCTCCCTTGTTATTTGCAGTAAGAAATTTAATATATATCCTTAAAAGGAGTTAAAGCATGCTAATGTTTTTCCTTTTACTGAAAATAACTTGTTGTTTGACTATGATTAATTCCAACGTATGCATGTTGATACAGGCACGCATGGACGGATATGCGTGCCATGGACTCTTTTTAAAAACTATAAATAGAAACAGTCTGGGTGGAAAGGGGAGAGTTTTGAAGAGTTACTTTTTGTGACTACAACCCCCAGAATTCCTCACCCAATGCAGCCACACTTCTGAGCTTTGTAGAAGATGTGTATCAACATATCAACTCTTTGTTTTTATCGAGAGTGTTGTTCTGAAGCTGGCTCACTGGATTTTGGCATGGAGCTGGATGAAAGAATAGCTTTGGGCCAGGGCCCAGGGTGGCTTTGAAATGATTAATCGATAAGAGCAATAAAGGCAATGACATAATTAGAGTACATATTTCGTGGACAGTGTTCACATACCCCAAAGAGAAATAACAGGTTTCTCTTGAAAGCTCTCAAGTGAGATTCAGATGAAAAGAGTGAAGCTGCTAGGGCTAAAAATACGTATATACCTAAACAACATCATGGCCCTGGGCATGCACCGCATTGGTAGAGAATGGCTTGATCAGCAAATGGTCGCAAGAGAATAATCTTGCATCAGCAGCAGCCAGTCATAGTGGATAATACTGGGGGAAATCTCTCACGTCTGTTTTCCTACTTCTGATTATTTTTCTTTAATATTTATAGTCACACATGTTCTTTTACCTTATCCCCCGAGACATGGATTTAACAAATGATCAATGTGATTGTGTGCTCCTATTGTTGCCCAAGGACTTGGAGGGGAGATTGCCAAGAAATAGCAGGCTCTGTTTTAGAGCAAGGAGCTGGCAAAACCACCTCTGAGTATTCCTTACCTGAGAAAACTCTATGAAATTGATAGAGTTGAAATATATTGATAGACAACTTGAGGGCATGTACACATAACACACATTTTGGGATCTGAACTCAAAAAAGCTGGCTAGGGTTGCCAGAGTGTAAACTGGAAATGGCTCTTGTACCTTTAATGGTTGTGTAGAAGAAGAAATTTCAGCAAGCATGGCTTATCACACAATGAGGCAACAAACAACACTTGCTGAAATTGCTTAATCTACATACCATTAAATGTGTACAGGAGTTGTCTCCAGTTTTCAGTCTGACAACCCTACATATTAGTTGAGGGGATTCTGGGAGTTTTCGTTTAAAAAAAAGTAACTTCTCTGAGGTCAGCATTTGAAGTCAGGTATGTATCATGGTGCATTTCAAGCCAGCATGGTGTAGTGGTCTGAGTGTTGGACTATGACTTTGGAGATCAGGGTTCGATTCCCTGCTCAGCCATGGAGACCCACTGGATGAGCTTGGATGAGCTGCATACTCTCAGCTCCAGAAAACCCATGATAGGATTGCCTTAGAGTTGCCGTAAGTCAGAAATGACACGAAGATGCACCACAATGTCCTATCATATCAATTTTGCTATGGATATACTCAGCATCAGAGGGCTGGGACTTCCTTCATGGTCATGGTTTCACGGTATGACCTCAGATTCTTGAGGCATCTGATCCTCCGCTTCTGCTGAGGAAAATTGGTCACATCCCTTCCTCATAAGTGATCTGCCATGAGTGGCAAGGCCTGTATTTGAAGGTGGTGAGGGGAGGAATGCATTGTTCATTATTGCTCTTTCAAGGATGGAGTTACACCCTGGAGACAAGGAACACCCTCCCCAAACCTGTTTATTCAGTCCCTGCTTTCATAGGCACACCTGTCCTGTCACTGATGAGACAAGAAGCCAAAAATATGGGTCTAATAAAGAGTTTGTCTGGCAACCAAATGGGCTTTCTATGGTTCTCGGAGGCCTGGTGGGACCACCTGAGCCATAAGATCTGCCTCTATGGCTACGCTTCTATCTTCTCAGTATGAAAGTCCTGATATAAACCATTTCAGGTGGAAGAAAGCTTCTCAGAATGGGGTCTGTTCCCACCCTTAGGCTTGTCTTTATGATTTAAATACTCCTTATTCTATCCGAAGAGACTGTGATCCAGCCACATGCAGTTTGAAGGATTTCGGGCTTTTTGCAAGGGGCAGGTGAAAAACTCCATAAACTCCACTGGGGAAAAAAAGGATTTATGGCTTTTACTGGAGTATCTGTGAGGATTTGCATTGTTCAACATGTGGCCTTCCATTCGCTTCATCTAGATTTGCATGGCTATGTATTTTCGGCAGAGGGAGGGTGTATAGATGCAAATTTGCACAGCAAAGTGAAGACAATGAAGCATCAGTGCAAATGTGCAAAAATCTACAGCAATTTGCACAGCACACTTGTGTGTAGACTAGCCCTTAGTCAGTCCTGGAGGGAGCCTTCCTTTCTAAAATGTGGGGTGCTGAATATAAACTTGGCCCAAAAATTTGGTAGCCTAGGGTTGCCAGAGTGAAAACTGGAGTTAGTTCCTGTACATTTAATGGTTGTGTTGAATGGGAATTTCAGCAGTCACACAACCAGGTAATAAGCAACACCTGCTGTAATTTCTTTTTTAAAAATACTATATGAGTCTCCCTCCGGATTTTGTTCTTGGTAAAGTCAGTGTTCCTCAAACTTCTGATATCGAACATATTTTTTAAATCCCTGAAATTGAAGGCACAGAGATTTAAACTACAGGTTGAGTCTCCCTTATACAGAATTCTTATTTTCATCCAATATATATTTTTTAAAAAACCACACTTTTTCCATGGGTGGCTGAGATAGTATCAACTTTGCTTTCTGATGCTAGGAGGAAGGAACATCAATAATCTAATATACGCAGATGACACCATAATACTAGTGGAAAACATCATAGACTTGGAACAATTACTAAGGAAGGTCAAATGAGAAATTGTAAAGGGAGGCTTACTGCTGACCATCGAGGATCTATGTAAGTTCAAACAATGGGGTGAGGAAATTGAAACGGTTAACGAGTTCCCATACCTTGGACCAAATATTGAGAAGAATGGAGATTGCAGTCAAGAAATAAGATGACTAGGAATGGAAAGGGCAGCCATGAAAGAACTAGACAAGATCCTAAAGAGTAAATATATACAACTGAGCACTAAAGTCAGAATTGTTCAGGCCATTATATTCTCCATCACATGTATAGATGAAAGAGCTGGATAGTGAAGAAAGCTGATAGGAAGAAAATCAACTCATTTGAGAGAATGTGGTGCGAGTGCTGAGGATCCCATGGACAGCCAAGAAGAAAAACAAATGGATCCCTGAATAGATTAAGCCTGAACTCTCGCTGGAAGCCAGGATGATCAAACTGAGGCTGTTGTACTTTGGCCACATCATGAGAAGACATGATTTATTAGAAAATACAATAATGCTAGGAAAGGTATAAGGTAGTAGAAAGAGAAGAAGACCGGATGCTAGATGGATGGACTGTATTAGGGAGGTCATGAGTATGAATTTACAGGACCTAAGCAAAGCGGTGAAGGATAGAGTTTTTGAAGATTTCTCATCAAGAGGGTTATGGTCAACTCAAGAACAATTCACAACAACAACAAGCGCTAAACTAGTGTGTGTACGTGGATAAATTAAAAGCGTAGTTACAAGACTTAGTTCAAAATCTAGCAACCTCATATAGCGTCCCACACAAAGTCGCTCCTTTCTTTGCTTCTGTCTGCTCCTGCGGCTTTTATGACAGCAGCCTGAGACAAATGGCTGTAGTGTGGGACCTTTACCTGCCCCTGGAACACTTCACCTGATGGATTTTTGCCCACTGGGCTGCTCTTAAAAGTCACAGGAGCAACTGCACAAAATCGAAGCTGACAACTATAATCCCACTAGTGGCAGAAAGATGTACTGATAGTCACCGAAAGAGAGAACGAGACGTACACATTCCCTTTGCAACCTCTGCTCCCAGTAAAAGGCCGAGGAGGAAATTATGGGTTAGAGGAGCTCCGCCTGTGAGCCATGACATGTGTGGTAGGTTGTATTGTGAAGCACCACCTCCCTATGGGAGGTAGTTGCAAGTGAGCTTGGCCTGGGAAGCTTACACGTCTTTGGCAGCAGTGCTGCAGAGACACAAGACTTGACGTAGCTGCCAGTTGCTCGCTCTGACTCCTCTCCATTCAGCCACTTTTGGAAACCTGTACAAGCACCAAGAGGACAAAAAAGACAAGAGAGAGAGGCACCATCCTTTTTGCCAAGGGAGAGAGAGGAGTTGCAACAACCCTTGGCACCTGATTTCCTGGACTCCCACCAAAACCAGATTTCCACCTGCAACGGCTGAGTCCTCCCGGGGTTATCATTATGCATTCGCTGTTCAAGAAAAGAAACAAAGGGAAATACAGCCCGACCGTCCAGAAGAAGAGGTGAGTCTTGTCCTTTGGGTAAAGCACTGCTGGCAGAGTAAAATCCAGTCCCTGCTTAGGTTGGTTGTGGGTTGTGCCAGGTACAAACCACACCTGACAGGTAGAATAAGCCATGCCAGCCATACATGCATGGCTGTGGAGTTTTGAATCTTGTTTCCTATAGCTGAGCACAAGTGTGTACCAGGATATCTGGACTATTTCTATAATGTTTAGGTAAACTACCTTTTTCATTTTTGGACTACTGCTACTTTATTCCATTTGAAAAATCCTCTGTGTTTGGGTCCAAGCTTTCTCGAAATATCTTTATGGTTTCCCTCTCGCGTTCCTCCTCCGAAATAGGCTTCTTCACATGTGCTTTGGTACTTCTCTGCTACTAGTTTTGTGGTCCAGGACTAAACCCTGTTATTGAAACAAGGACTAGTGGTTGTTTCTGTTGTTGCTCTCTTTTGTTTTATTTGTTACACTTCTTCCAATTTGTTACACTTCTTCCAAAGGCAGCATGCAAGTCTCTCTTAATCCTCCCCATGATGCTTTAACCTCAGAACAACCTTGCGAAATAAGTTAGACTAAGGCTGCACCTGCACTGCAGAAATAATCCAGTTTGACACCACTTTAACTGCCATGGTTCTATCCTACAGAATTCTGGGGATTGAAGTTTTGCGAAACACTTAGCCTTCTCTGCCAGAGAGCTCTGGTGCCACAATAAACTACAATCCCATGAATTCCACAGCATTGGCAATTAAAGTTGTGACAAACTGGATTACTTCTGCAGTGCGGATACAGCCCAAGAGAGTATGAGTTGATGACTGGTCCAAGTTCACCCAGTGAATTGTCTTGCTGGCTGAGGATTTGAATTTGGGTCTTCTCAAATCCCAGACAAACTTTATAACCACTTCATTGCAATGATATTTTCTATGTTTTAGGGGCAGTCTGAGAATAGAGAAATGGAAATCTTCATTTATCTGAAAGGCTGGAGAAAGCTTTACCTGGTTAATCTTTACATGTTTGCATTACCGTAATAAAAATTAGGACTAGAACCAATTTTTCTTCAATAGTGACCTTACTGTTCAAAAATTCCTTGCCACCTTTCTCTTAAACGTGGCAGTCTAGGGTTATTGACAGGTGTGTGAAAGACATTTTCTATATGCTGGACACTACCAGAGCTTGGAAATGTTCTCTGGGGGATTACAACTCCCAGAACCCCCTAGCCACAATGACCAGTGATCACATTTGCTGGGGGGATTCTGGGAGGTATGGTCAAAAAAATGAACTTCTTCAGGCTCTAACTAGTTCTCATCTTCCAGGACTTAAACCCTGACACTGAAGCAGGTTATTGAGTTCACACAGGTTACGGAGTTAGCTCTGGATCTCTCTTCTTTTGCATCCCGTCTTGCTAGGATTACATTATGCTGTGTGCAATAGCACTACCAGCCAGGGAAATGTGAACAAGATAACACCCTTTTAATTTTCCTCTTCAGTATACTTTCATTGAGGTTGTTGTTGGCACATTCCAGAAATTTAATCTCTCGGGGTGTGGCTCCATCACCCTCTTTCTCCATTTTTAAACTCCTCCTGTCTCTAATATTGGCATGCACACTTGATTTACTACTCTGTCCAAAGGGCCCCTGCCACAGTCAAAGAACATGTCTCAATGTGTCTTAACTGAAATAGAAACAACCCATGTTGATTCAATAATGAGGGATTGAAGATTGCTCTGCCTGCCTGTGGTTTAAAACTTTCAAAAAATAAGAAGCCTTGTTTTCATGTGTGCATTTAATGTTTTAAAAGTTTGTTATCAGATGCACATCGCCCCAGGGACCCTGTTCTTGGCTGGCTGCAGATGTGGGGCTGAGAGATCAATGTTCCAAATAAAGAAATAATACAACAAGTCTTTTCAACTCTCTAGCTCAGTAGTCTCCACTCTGGCTGACAATAGATCTCCAAATTTCACATGCTAAAAGTCAGAGGTACTTTTGGGACCATAACTTTCAGAA